GAGATTTGAGTCACTAAACTTCTGAAATAGTCTATGAGTGATAGAACGCTGATAGAACGCGATAGAACGCGAGGCCCAGCCGAGCACTGGCGCAGCGGCGTACGGTTACGTCATCCGAGCGCTGCGTCAGAAATACAAACCAATAAAACTCGAATTGTTGTTGTCCCCATGGATTTAGTTTTCAACTTACCCGCTATGGGCGTGACGGTTGGATATTCTCCTCAAAAAGAGTTTGGCTGTCAGTGCTGTCGAGTTTCAGTATTTAATGTCGGATTCGGTGCATCTTTGTGGCTGGTTCAAACACTTGCGACTGACTACAATCAGGTGCCTTAAAAAATTATAAAAAAAAAAAAAAATACGACGAGAGAACAGGTTGGCGGCACCTATCGGATAGTCGTGTTACACTTGGCATTTCCGTCTATTTTTATTTTCTTTTTTTGCGCATCATTCTTTCTTTTTTGGCTCGAACCACTTTTTGACAACGTTATAATAAACGACTGTCTCTCATGAATATATATTTCGTACATTTTACCTCGCAAATTCTCTTAATGAAATGCAGTTCCAGGGTCACCGGGTCACCTCATAGATGGCGCCAGTGTGTCAGTGTGTTCTCTAGCCATGAGAGGTCACAATAACTCGGTACTAAGCAGACGCAAGTTTGTGGAGGTGCCTTTACAAGTAGGTGTCTCACTATTCCTCTCCGTTGGTACACCAAAGGTGTTGAATTTCCGGGTGACCAGCGTAAAAGTGAGCAACTGGGTATTAAGGTGGTGAACTGGGCCAGTTGGTTGAAGTTATACATGATATTTATTTGTACATACTGCTGGCCCGTGGGGCCTTGTCAGAGAGGAACAAACACACACACACAAAAAAAGAATACGATTCATACCTCCAACAGAGCTATGAACAATAAAGTGGTTACAAGATTGAATACAAAACGCGCCGAGAGCGCAAAATAGGAAACAAGAGCACTATAATTGCACGTAAAAAGTGATAATAAATTTAGCAATGACAATATACTGACAAACATTATGACCAATAACTAATAACTAAGGGCACGTGCTGTTTTCTAAAACACTATATACAAAAAAACAGTACAATATTTAAAGTACTATACATATTTAACCCCAAAAAGAGAAAATGACAAAATAACACCCAAGGCGATATGCTCACTTTTTAAACAGACAAAAAAAGTCTAACGGCGTCTTCGGACACTGAAACATCGTTGTGATTTACAATATGTTCGGGAAGCTTATTCCAATCGTTAATTGTATTTGCAAAAAATGAATACTTGAAAATATCGATTCTGGGCAGATACGACTGCAATGCTTTGGAATGATTTAATCTAGCTAATCTATTCGTTATGTTTCTAAGATAAGTGTCTCGGTTGATCTTTACTTGTCCATGATAAATCAAAAACAAAAACTTTAGGCGTGCAATTTTTCTCCTAACCGCTAAGGGTTCAAGCCCGCAAGCATTCAACATTTCTGTCACAGAGGACGTTGATCTGTAATTTGAAGTTATGAAACGTGCGGCCTTCCTCTGTATCCTCTCGAGCTTGTCTATGTCAGTCTTGGTTGCGGGGTCCTAAACGACCGAGGCAGATTCTAGAGTGGGTCGTATTAGAGTTTTGTAGGCCGTAAGTTTTATTTTTTTTATTGCTATTTTTAAGTTTATTTCTAAGCATACATAATTTCCTATACGCAGCTGCGCAGATATTGATGATATGTGGCTGCCATTTTAGGGTTTTGGCTTAACGTTACCCCCAAATACTTGAAAGTTTCTGCTTTTGTTAGTTCTACATATGGGGAGAAGAGCTCAGAAAACACGGACTGCGAAGTGGAACAAACACGACAGGACAATGCTGTACTCGCATCTGAAGAATTTTAATAAAGAAAACAAAGTCAGAAAATTGTCTTTGTTTCCTTTATTAAAATTCTTCAGTTGCGACTACTGCATTCTCCTGTCGTGTTTGTTCTTCCTCGTAGTTCGTGTTTTCTGAGCTGTTTTCCCCATCATGTATAACTAGGTATTAGTTTTTCTTCGTAAGCACTAAGCGTACAGTTCTTTTTTTCTTTTTTTACTTTTTCTTACTGAACGTTCGAAAAGTATAGTACAATTTATACGTACGGCCTGGCGAGTGTTTAATAATACCACGGGGGGGGGGGGGGGGGGGGGGGGGAGGGGGGAAGGGGGTCAATGGCAGGCCGGTGAATGCCGTATCACAGAACGCTGCAGCGATATCAGCGATACGGAGCGCAGCGCAAAGTCTACCTAGCGTTGAAGTCGATGTAGAGCTCCATGAGAGGACGACGCTGACCGGCCCGCCGATCGATGTTCCCGAAATATTAGTATAAAACTGCCAAGCTGTACATATAAACGGCCTGAGCTTGGCGGTGATGTCTAGGTGGCCACGCTTTGCCATTTCACAAACATTTTTGAATATATATATATATATATACATATAAAATAGAGCCCTGATTTCAATGACGCTCCGCACTTCACATAAGATAAAGTAAGCTGGCCTCTTAATAAATCTGTGTTAGACATTGATGCGTGCAACATAAAAACATTGATACAAGGTTTGTATTTTGGCGAATCGGTGCATGATGAGATTAAACAAAACGGCGCCAAGAAAGATACACAGGGACGAGTTGAAGGGAAAATGGATGAATGGATACTTGGAAGAATAAAGGAGAATAAATAAAACAGTGGTGTGTTTGTGTGTCTATCACATCTACCAGTGTTTTTTGTTTGCGTTTAATTTTATTTATTCAGAATAAAAACAAATCATTTATCATTTTTCTAAATGGATGGTACATAAAATTATTGTCCCAGTAAAACAAAATTAAACGCAATGTGGCGAAAACACTATATGCTGCTTCAGTAACAAAACAAAGAATATTGAAGCTTCATTTTCTCAAACTTCGTGCTTCAGTAGGTGCTACAAAGTAGACCCAGTACAGCACTTAGCAAAACGACGTGCAGGGTAAATTGCGCGAGAACCTTATTCTGCGAAAACTAACATAATCGCAATACATTGCTCAAAAGAGACAGAAACAAAAAAAGAAATAAAGGGGAAGAAATCGAGAAAGAATGTGGGAGGAAGTGAGATTAGAAAACAACGAAGGTTAGACTAGGTTCGTTGCCATGACTGTCAACTTTGTGAGGGGTGAAGAATTTTGGCATGCTTACGAACTGCGAATGTCGGTAGAAGGAAACCCGTCGTAGCGTCTCTTTTGGTTTGTTTCTAGAAAGAAAACTGATAGGAAGGTGCACTGTTGCATCGTTGATTGCGCTGAAACGTAATATTACGATATGTTTTCTCCCTAAACTCTGCGTCAACTTTTTAACGACCGTCAAATATTTTGTGGTAGTGCTCTCAGCGACCGATAGCTACATGATACTTTTTTTTTTTTTTTTCAAGTTTGGATATCTATTACTGTGAGTAGGACGCGTATTTTCGAAAACATGACGCCTAAAATTTGATATTTGACCCTCTCGATCTCGGTCTATGTTTTTTTGTTATTGACGGAAACTCTATGATTTCAGGAGCTGCTTAATACATAAAATTATTTTGTGTATTTAGACTTGAAAGAACTCCAGATTAAACTATTTTGTACTTGTTCAATGAAAAGCCACGAAACTATATAAATCCCATTTCATACAAAGACTAAAGAGCATGACGCATCTTTATTGAGAAAGAGTAGAAGCCCTTCGACAAAAAAAATGATATAAAATTACGTTTCTTTATGAAATGTAGCAATACTACTCGGTACTGCAAGTAATTTAAAAGGAGCAGGAAAATAAAAATCAATCTATCAAGAATCAATTGGAAAATATCTAGAGTAATAAAAATACCCCGGTAAGAATTTATCCTCTGTCATATACCCTAACATCATTGTTGTGATATAGCCTTTTCTGGATACAGGAAACTATATATGAATAACTAGAGACGACTTTAGGCAATACGTATATGCTACCACTTTTCGCCCTTCGAGCGATTTTTTTAGATGTTTCTTAGTTAATGATTGGTTTATGGCTGTTTAATTGTCTCTCGATATTACATTTGTCCTCTTAGAAACCTCGTTAATGACGTTAATATGTGAAAACATGTATATCACAGTAGTCGTAAGCTTCGAATAGTAGCTGAAGTGTGTGACGTGTTAGCTTCGGCCGACTTCTTCGTAAAGAGTCTAGATCGAATAGTATGTTTATAGTTTTATAACTCAGGTATGGCGACGCTCACACTTAATATTAAAATTAATGTTCCGTTTTGCCCTCAAAGAAATTAGGAACTTTAGGCAAGTTTTGTTAAATTTTATCACAGCTTAAGTAAACTGGTTTAGGATCAATGTGCAAATATACGTCTCATGCCAGTGTGTTTTTAACGGCATTGACGTGTTTAACGTTTACTCATTTATGCACTTTGCGAACGGGACAATGCCCCGTGTGTTTATCATTCTTGAACGACAAGTATCCACGAACCTCAGAGAATTGGTACATCCATAAACATAAAGACAAACAAACGTACTTTCAATGACACTTTTACTGGGGTGCGCACAATTCGCTTTATGTTCGACTAAGAAGGGACGTTGGATAGCTTATACTTTTATAAGCTATCCAACGTTTATAGTTTTATAACGTCGCTTGTTCTCACGGGCGCGCAGAATCCAGTGCATCGCCCTAACTTATCTTCATCACAAGTTACGACATTGCTACGACGGTGTGGTGGTGTGCGACAGAAACTTAAAGGCTCCTCACTCGCCACCTTTCTATTGTTATTTATCTCAATTTTTCTCTTTCCTAAGTTATGTTTTCCTTTTTTATACAAGATCATTTCGTCTGAATTGGAAAGGCAACCTAACCTTTACGTCGTTGACCATGACGCACACCGCACGAATTATGTTTGTTTAGACATATCACGTAGGGAATAATATGTCACTACTTGTTCGTAAACGTCTGGTAGTGCGAACCTAGAAAGAATTAGGGTTATAGTAATGCCTCCATTAGGAAAACTGTTTGCGTTGCTAACATCGAAAATTGAGCCCTCTTTCTACTGGGTTAAAGCAATAAACATAGCAGCAATATTCAAATCGAATGACTACTCGTTCAGCTTAAGTAAGCCAAGACAATATATTTAACAATATATTGAAACGGCATTTACCTTGTTACGAGACTCAACTTTGAAACCGAAAAGCTGCCTGTGAATGCAGAGTTGTCTGTTATTCTGGGGCTTTTCATATATATATATCCTTGTCCCATTTAGTGTTTTAGTTATGAAATACAACGCAGGCTTGTTAGGTGACTAACCTTTTAAAATTAGCATTTTAGAATTAAACGTATTAATACACCCTTGTTTTCAGTGGTCGGTGAAAGCTCATAAAGCGGAGAGCCGGGCTTATAATTTTCCCGTATTTTGCGTTGCAATTTTATTTTTGCGTTCTTGTCCGCTAATATCGCATTCTCAGTGGCTTTGAAGCAATAATAGTATGTTCAAAATTTGCCACGCCTTTAAGATATTAGCGACTACAGATAGCATCTGATAAAAAATGGCCTTTGCTTAATTTATATGTGCTAAGTTTTTATCTTATTGTAAGAAAGACCCTGAACACCGCAGGCATTGGGCAAATATATCAAGTAAATACCTCCCTTACGATCAGGTCACAGTTCAGTGCTGTCAGCATATTCCGCGTGAAGATTTTGTCGGTCTTATGTTAGTGCGAATAATGAAAATTATCTAATGATTCTTCGTGTCTTTCCCCAAACTCTCAGCTAGCCTAAACGTCAAACAAACAAACAAACGAAGAAGACAACATTGGCAACGTGATCGCGAGGTTTTTGTTACCATCCAAAAATATTATAGTATATTCCCACAGGGACAATGGTAATAGAGCTACATACAAGCGCTCCAACGACTTCTTGGCATGGCATGATCGGTACGAGTTTTTGCACATTAAACTGTCAGGAGCGTGTATGGCGAGCCAAGAGATAAAACTAATTTTACGCTACCTATAAAGATTAGTCTGCTCATAACTTTAGCGGTGGCCGATCCTTGACAGCGAGGGAAAACATGATACATGCTTCAATCTAACCGCCGAGCCGGTCAAGCCAACTATACCGACATGGCTAATCTCTTTTCCAATCATGCACTGTTATGCTTGGGTTATATAATAATGACATAATTAGATTACGTTGTTAAAATTATATGAAAGGCTTAGGCAAGAAAAAAAAAAGAAGTCAAGATTACGAAAAACCGAAAAGGCTAGATATGCTTGTTTTTTCAACTGGTATGCCTCTGTTCACGTGTTGGTGTTTGACGTTCAGAATGCCTAGAACCTAGTTATAGCGAGTCATATAGCGAATCCTTTTAACCGTTGAAGAATGTAATGCATCCCCACTAAGAGTTCGGAGAAACATTCAGTATACTGCGTTTCACCTTACTCTGAGCAGCAATGGGCACAAGGAGCCATCAAAGCCAATCCAGCACTCTAAACTTCTCCCGTCACTATGCGCCTCGCGTGTCGCTGCGACCTTTTTGAAGGTCACGTGACGCTCAAAAGACATCGGATTGGTTACGACGCCTTGAAGCGTCCTCCGCGGTACACTGTCAAATAAAAGGGGAGGAGGAATTTACCGTCTTCGGAGTGGGCGACGGAATTCTCCTGAGTACGGCTTCACCACACACACTGAGCACTTGGGGAGAAGTGTCAGTTAGGGAGGCGGTTTTGGGGAACAAGCTAATCGCGCTAGCTCCTCATAGCGCAGATGGGTTAGGATGGGAAAGGGAAATGAGTTTGAGAGTACCGGTGGAACAGCACGGGCTACACTTTCTCGTTTGATTTTGTTTCCACAACTAGGTACATTAGAGGAACAGGCTTGGAGTGATAGCTAAGGGGAGTGACGGTTGGCTTTAGTGTCCTTTGGTATTAACGCTAACGATGAATTGCTAACTGTTGTCGTCAGCATCCGTATTCAAGCATTAGCCGTGTACACAAGTGTGCGGCTTTTTTTTTGTGTGTGTTTTCCGTTTGGACGAAATGCCCGCGAGGATGGAAGTAAGGTGCTGACGAGACATCGTGGCTAAGGGTGATTCTGGTAATTCTGTTTACCTAATCAGCAGGCTCCGGGACGAAGGTTTTAGTGTTTTGTGGCGTTCTTCCGAAAAACACAATGTCGTGTTGTTATTTTTCAGCTGAGTGTTTTGTTCGACCTATTTTTTAAAGATAAGTTGAGGGAACCTAGAAAATCTAGAATTTCCAATGTTATAATTTTTTTTTTCCTAAAGTTGTTACAGATCTGTTATTCTGAGGTTGTTTTGTAGAATTTAAGCTCAAATAAAGTTTCATGCATGCCACCGAAACCATAAAGCCCATTAATACACTACCGCAATAGTCTTAAGCCAATCGTACTTTTTGAGTATTTTTGTAACATACTGCACACGATATATGGGGTTCTTGAACATTATAGCCACCAAAAAGTATAAAAATGAAACGTTTATTTTATTAGTTTACAAACTGACCCATAGGCCTTTATATCAACACGTTTACTAATGTATGTCATAAACTGATATAAAAAGGAATTTGATGGTTAAACGTGGGTTCTTAACTTTTACCTGAAATAGAAAGCAATGCAATGCCTCCCTATGGTAGTTCCATAGACTGGTGATTATATGAAGTAGGCGGGACAGATCAGTCGTTCACATGACATTATATTTTAATTCTCTCAACCGAGCAGGACGCCGAGCTAAGAGAATAATAATAATAATAATAATAATAATAATAAATCCTTTATTAACCAATATTTGAGGTGCGACCGAAATCAAGGCTGTTATGTAATTTCTAACTTTTACGATACTGCGAAGTGAATTATTTGATGTACCATTTATCGTATAGATGTATTAGGATACATACTTAATTCATTAGTAATATTTAGTTTACCAAGCCTCTTCGCTGGCTTCAGGTACAAAGTCAAAAGTACGGCCGTATTTCCCCCTTTTTATGAAAGACCTGAATGACTGAAATTTTAGGTAATGGGACATGTGTAGAAGATCTCTTAGATACGAAACTTCAAATACCCAGACAGCCTTTTTGCCCGTGGCTTTGTCAGGTTGTCGTATACATTTTGTCCTACATTCATTGATCTCAATAACCATCCACCTTTTTTAATTGCGTACGGTTTGTTTCACATGAAATTACTATTTGCACGCATAAACGCCGTTTAGAAATGTTAGCTTTAGACTCACACCTACGTTGTAGCTACCGGATAAAACTTTGTCAGTGCACCACTCCTGTGCTCTTCTGAACTTCGTCAAATAAGTTCAATATATTTGAATAAAATTGAAATATTTGCACCAAAGTGCACGCTGCGAAATCTAGCAGGTCGGGAGTGAAACTAGAATCGTTCCCAGTTTATGTTCCTAAGAACTAAGTACATGAGGATATAGTTTTATTATCGGATGGTGTGAGGCATTTACGTTAAATAAACCAACATTAAAACGCCAGACACGTGCCCAGCAAGAGCGTCCGATGGGTTGTTCGACGTGTCCAAGAAAAGGCCAAATCTGAAAGGATTCACATTGACGAATTCAGCGTTGACCTTCGAGAATGCACGTGCTTGAATTATAAACACCTCCGCGAAGGAAAGTAATAACCTCATAAATCGCTTTGCTCGCCATAAATCTCGGATGTCCCGTTTCTACCACCTTTCCGACGCGTCCTACAATACGTCGGTCGTTTTGACGTGTCTGGTACGTTATACATACGCATATCCTGCGGACTGCGGCAATACGTCGTGCCTCACGGGAGCTCACGTCTTGGCCAATTGAAACAAAAATTTTCAGTACAACAGAGTTTAACTCCGTGTTTTGCTCAGAACAGAAGTGCGTACAACCTACCGAACGGGTTAAAGCGCTTAGCTGTGCCCGACGCTAAAAAGTGAGCCGAGAGGCAAGCAATCGGTGCAACATCGAGATGCGCTGGTTGCTTTTATTCCGGCAACTTGGACGCACACCCAAAATCGGGCCTTCCGGTTGCATTTCCGCTGCGAGAGTGCAATGAAGCTTTTTTTTTTTTTTTTTGCCTTTTTTGAGTTAGTTTTGAGCATTCATTGATTTCATCCGATAAATTCGCTCTGAATGTGTTGCAAATGAGCTGATCATGTGCTGTTTGTCAGGTACGTCATAATGTCACATGAAGGTATGGTATAACGGGACGTAAGGATGTAATGTGGTACCCTGACTTCACGGTCATATAAGCCATTTTGCCCTTTGGTGCTCCGTTGCTTACAAGACCTTGACCTGTGCATCGGTCCGGCGTAATGGTCGAACGGAACCGTCGCGCATAACGTGTCGCTTTTCTCATTAAACCCAGCCCTACAACACATTGTGAGCTACAAAAAAAAAAAAAAAGAAGAAATATACGGATATTTGAACTGACGCAGCCCTGTCTTTCGTCTCTGCAGCGTGGCTGGGTTCGCTGTCCCTGTGTTCGTCGTTCTTCATCTCGCCCGTGGTGGTGGCCTGGTGCCGTCGCAAGAGCACCCGCCTCACGGCCGTGCTGGGTGGCCTGGTGGCCGCCCTGGGCTGCCTGTTCACATCCTTCGCGTCGCAGTTCCACCAGGCTCTGTTCAGCTATGGCCTCGTGCTCGCGGTGGGACTGGGCATGGCCAGGGACGCCGCGCAGCTCGTCCTGGCCCAGTACTTTAAGCGACGGCGACACTGCGTCGAGGTGGCGGCCAGCGCCGGAGCGGGCCTCGGGGTCGCAGCGCTCGCCTGCATCTTGCACGCCTTGCTCGGGTCAGTTCTTTCTAGGGTGTATAAAACTAGTGTAATGCTTTCGGAAGAAAAAATTGCGACGAAGTTCTTGAGGTGGGAAATAATGTATACGCAATATATAAGGTGCGAAGCAATTTTTTTTCTTTTTCCAAACATAAAGACTACCGCTTTTGGAGCATTTAACTAGCCCGCATACATATTCATCGCGAGAACCATAGCTCTTCCCTCTTCCCGGGACTTAACTAATTCTTCCTTCCTGTGTTGAAGTAAGACACATGAAGGTGCATCTTAGATTAGCGTTTTGTTATTTTATCAAGAGGTACACGTTTCAAACGCCAAATTCATAACGTTTTTCTTTGACAACCAAATCTTGCGAGAACTACTTCGCATAGCGCATAAATGATGCGCAAAGCGACCTTTTTTTCTTGATGTGCCAACGAGCATAGTCGTTTTAAATGCGGTTCATTTAGACACTTTAAAAGCTAGATACTCGCGGGCCCAGTTGAATTATGTGAGTCCCCATATTCTTGAGCTATCTAGAGCGCGCCTGAAGAGCCTTGCATTGTTTTCTAAAGAAACATGCTCGCGCCACAGAACAGGTGTTTTTGAGTCTGTATAATATACCGGTGAAGTGCGTGAGCGGTATAATATGCGCATTTTAACATAAAATATCAAAATAGTTCTTTCTCAAAAAATAGTGGCCATCTAATGGAATAACACCTACGTACTATTGGCCGGTAGAGAAATGTAGCGTGACTGTAATGGCGGCCCCATAATTTTTGTAAAATAAAAAGGAATGAGGACGACAGTTCTTATATGAGTAAGGAGAAGCGATAGGAAATCCCCTTTACAGGCCCCCGTAGTATCGTCCAAGTTATGATTTAAACGTGCGGCCGTTCTCTGCAGAGAAATGGTGTTATTGCGGTGATGTCTCAGCTTAATTGTGATTTATAATTTTCGGTTCATATTTTGCTTAGCTTGTCTAGAGGCATGCTCTCTAGAGCCGCCCCTTGACCATATACGACCCACGTGCGTCCTACGTATTTCTTTATGTCCTAGCTTATCCTTCATCAATCACGTGCGTTGACGTCTTAGTAGGACGTTAAGAGAAACCAGATAACGAAACGAAAAGTTAATCTAAAATAATGAAATTAAAAAAAAAGCGGCCGCGTTTTTTTCAGAATACACTGTTAGCAAAAATAACACGCCCAGACGTGTAAACCGTTGTCCCATAGCGGACACGTCGAAACGTGTTCGTTTTACACGGAGCCATCTGTGTTTTTCGTCTACACATGAGCTGCTGTGTAAAGTTAACACGCTACACCGTGTTTGCCTTCCGAGAAGCACGGTTCAAAGTGTTCCTTATGAAACATGGCGGCCAGCAGCCGAGAACAGGCGAGGGACGAGCCCAGCCAGCCGCGCCTTTCAGCCGAACTGAAAGCATGCAGGACGCGTTCGTTCTCGTTCGATGTCTTTTATGCACAGTAAACAGTCTCCGAGCGGCGGACGTAGCTACGTGCAAAGGTACCTACGTGCATCGTCGGCGGTCGGTGGCGTCGGCAGCTACGACAAAACCGCTAGACAAAAACAAAAAAAAAACGAATATTGAACTTACATGGATAAATAGCTCAAGCAAACTCTTGTAATCGGGCGGTAACTTGCGCCACCTAGTGCGATTTCTAGCAACCGATGAAAAAATAAAGAGCAGGAGTCGGTTAATACGCTGGGAACTATCACGAGTAGACTGCTACTCTCATATATCACAGACAACACGAGCACCACGTAGGACACAGCAGCGACACATACACAAATACAACACCGACACTACGTCCGACACTTCCTACTAACAACGGACTCTCCCCGCGGCGTATATATGCTTGACATGTACGGGTGAGCTCTTTGGTCGCTGATCGTTACCGATTTATAGAAGAAGACACAAAACACGGCTCAATGGACAGCCGTATGTAAGAACTGTTTGCATTTAAAAAGTATGGAAGCAAAATCTGTAAAATTAGTCCTTTGCGAAAAACAACGATGTACTAACAATAAATCTTAAACCAGCCATGAACAAGTTCAAATTTTTGTTATTTTCATGCTCGACCAGTGTTATGAGCAGTCCGACTCGCTTGAATCAGATAGAAAAACAAATGATTGGGATTTTATCAGTACGTATTCAATAATCAATGGAAATTATACTTGCGCAAGGCATTTTTTATACATATTATTGTGAAGGACATCCGCCCAACACTTCACTTCCGCTAATTGTAGTACGCGTACGGGAGCAGACGCCTTCACTTTTGGGGCGTTTTGATGCAGATTGTTGTCGTATGTCGTGTTGGTGTCGAGCGAAGCGGTGAGGCTTGGGAGTTTGTGACCGGTGTTATTCGTGATCATTAATGTGGCGCTGATGCGTTTTTTTTTTTTTTTTTTTTTAATATTTCTATATAGCCACAATGAAAATTCACGAGCCCGTGGCACTGCATTATGCTAAAATCGCGAGCTCCTTCTCTGTTGACGTCGTTTTTCTGGTAGCACTCGTGGATACTGCAAGCGTTTAAACAGTGCACAGTCTCGCCTACATCCGCGGTGACGTAATCGACCTGTTGAAACTTATTGCTTGCGTCATTTTGGAGTACGCAAGGCAATTATCTCGCTGCACTGGTTTCGGTTATAAAAGCAAGGCAAAACGCTCGTAGTTCCCGCCCTCAGTACACGTTGGACATCTTCCACACTTTGATACTGGATAACTGGATGAACGAGGATTTACATTTACTTCAGAGGTCACACTCGCCGCTTCCTCACCGTCGAGCAGCAGGATCAGCTGGCGACAAGCCGCGTATGAAAGGCTCGAGCATCAACAGCCCAAGTGCACTCGGTACCGATGCGGGCGATGCGGGTTTCTGTCAACCGCTAGCCCAGCACAGACCGTGACCGTTCCAGCTCTTCGTCATGACGCGGTGTTGCAGAAAACAGCGTATAATACCACTACACGGACCACCGAAGCGAACGCACTGTTATCGTAAATCTTGGCTTGTGATTGCGCCTAAATTTGTAAATAATCTTATTCTTTTTTCTGGAGACGCAAACGAAGGGCATAACAAAATCGTTTGCATATTCCGCATACCTCGCAAAAGCATCAGTCACCTTGCGAGAAGCGCAAAACACGGTGTCCGCACCGTCCTGACTTCCCAGTCTTTTACCTGCTTTAGAGCAGTTTGTACCTGTTAGTAGGTATGTCTACTGAAACTGCAACTTGAAACTTGGGGCAGTGCCAGAGGGAAAAGAGACAAATTGGGGCCTCTTCCCAATGTAAAGAAAAACCACTATGTTCTCTACGTAAAAAATTGGTCTCAGTTCATGCATCTGTGGGCAGGTAGAAAATCTTGCCCTAGTTTATTCACACCGCATGATGAGCGCAACAAACTCACACGAGTCACACGAGATTTACAGGAAAACATCGGTGGTGACTTAAGTTTCCCTGAAATTCTGTATAACCGGTCGTTTGCGGGACCGAATCATCTACTCGAGCGGTGTGCGTCGCTGTGCGAACACGTCGCTGTGCAAATGCAGTCTAACGACACGAAGCATAGAAACGGCAGATTTAGGGAAACTATCCGAAGCCCCTTGTTCAATTAAAACGACGTAATTTTGTTGAAAACGTCCGCAGCATTTTACTCACGGTATGCGTCGGGAATCTTCCACATTTTTAAACGGAACGAAGGAAGATTTACTTTTAAGAACGCTCGCTGCGTCCTCCCCGACCAGCTGGACCGGATCAGCTGACGACGACGGGGCTAAACCCGTCAAACGCAACCCCACAACAACCAATATGAGCTCCGCGTTAGTGCGGGTTTCTACCTACAAGCACTGCACCACACACCACGGATGTTTCGGCCCTTTCTCGCATCGCCGTGTTGCCCCAAACAGAACGAGATCGCCGAAGAACGCAGCGCTGTCGTGAACCTGGGCTTGTGGTTGCGCACTCGTGGACCCTGTGACTCCCCTCGCTTTCAAAGCACACACGACGAATGGTACTTTCCGTCTTCCAGGAACATCACAGGGGCACTTCTCCGGTCACGTCTTCACTATGTGCTCGCAAACTGCGAAGCTCTATGCGAAGCTTCTCGCGTCCCGTCAAACCAAAACAATAGCGGCTGCCAGAAATTTCTCCGGTCAAACAAAAAGAACGAAAGCCAACCGGCTCTTGCTTCCACCGTACATCGACGTTGCGCGTGCGCCATGGCCAGATCGGCCAGATCGCTTGCAGTTGAAGCAGTTGAAGGTTGAAGCAAAAACGAAACCAACTGCAATGTCACGTGTTCACATCGAAGACACGCTTTTTATATTCATTTTAACTGTTTTGAACGAATAATTGGACCCATGACTTTATTTGTGGTGTGTAAGAAACTATTATCAAGAGCCCTAAACTAAATGCAAACATGGGCGACATGAGGGAAGCCGCATTGCCATCGACCAGAAAATGGCGGCGAGCCACGGTAAGCGCGGGTTTCGCCAACGTCCCGCGACATGGCGTAATTCCTTTTGGTGCATATCTGTTTCCGAGACATGTTTCTTTCCGCGGCATTTGTCTCGACGGTCCTTTCTAAGTGTGTGCCCAAGCATTCCGGTGCTTCGATAGCCGGCAATGCCGCGGTCGTCGCCGGAGGCGATGCGTGTTATCGAGGTCGGCTACACGGTTATGCGTGTATGACCGAACCAAAACACGTTTTTTACAACCTCGCATGATATCTGAACGTATTATCCGTTACTCATCGTGTAAATTTATGGTAATTTGTGTAAATAGCGTGTTTTTCACCCCAAATATTCACCAAATACACGGCACTTGCTAACAGTGTATTAAAGAGTCTAAACCTGCGGTTTATATCAGTGTAGTCTACCCCCTACTGCTTTAAAGTGCTATATTGCAAGAAAGGTCAGCGCATTAATTTTAGGGGCAGGGACTAGCTGCTGACAAAACACTTGGCGCGAATTATAGTAAGGTTACAATATTTACAGGCAGAGTTTTCTGGTGCGCATCTGAACTATTGTGTGTGGTTCACAAAAAAGCGGGGGGGGGGGGGGGGGGGCTTTTTCGACGTAGCGGCGTGGGAACGCAGGCTATTTTTGTTTAATTACATTCTGTGAACTCATGAGCTATTTTAAATCCAAAATAAAAAAGCAAATATTTGATATTCACGAATTAATACAACGGAATGAAACGAAGTAACAGCAGCAGAATTTTTTTTAAAATTATTATTATTATTATTATGAGTGCCACCCTAGACGTTTCAACAACGTGCCGCTTTTTACAATTCCAGTAATTTATCGGGACTCGTTGAAAAATAAGATGAGATTTGGTCCACCAATTGCCTGTAAACGGCACCGAAACGAACTATTATTTGTACACTGCGCGACAATGTTAACACGAACACACGAATTCGGCACTTTTTTGCGTTTGACTTTGAGAGGGTTTGAAGGTTTTGCGTTTGAAGGTTTTGCGCTTTGAGGGTTTTGCGTTTGACTTTGGGAGGCACAAAAAAAAAATAGTTACCACCTACGTTAGTGGTCCGAATGAGAACTTTCCACTCCGATAATTGTTTAAAAAGAACAATTGAATTTAAAAAAAAAAGAAACGGGGATTGCTTGCGTGCGTTAATATTGTTGCGCTATGCACATGTCTTTTCGCGGACAAGGTGGGCTGCAAAAGTTCTTTGCGATTTTTTGGCCTGCATGCCAAATCGTCTGAACGAGGTTTAAACCAAAATTGGGCTAAAATGCATAATTAAGGCTTTTTTTTTTAAATTCTAGGACATATCGTGACACAGTGCAGCTTTTCGAGATCGCATGGTCTCAATAAGCAGCACTTCACATGTATCGCTGGGATATGACCCCCAGGCAGTAGGACAGGGGAACGCCAATCTTGGCACAACCTCGGCAATCCCAGGGGCCAAACTGGGGTCTAATGCGGTTTTGCATCAAGGCGTTAGTTAGTGCACGGGCAGTCTTCTTTGGCGTTTCTACTACCTTTCTGTGGCACGCTACATAATTGACAAAGTGCCAGCCTTAAACCAACGATTTCGGATGACAGCAAAACTACCACTTATAACGATATCACATATAACGGCGTACCGCTTATAACGATCAGTTTTTAGAGTTTCTAGGCTGGAAATGATCAGTTCCTAGTTCAGATACAACGATAATCGGTTATAGCGATTTAAACTTCGGGCGTTCTTATTATTTTTATAAGTGGGTTGCACTGTATATACCAGCAGCGGAGGCTAAGTCTGGCACTTGTTTGGTCATTCAGGCCCAAAGTCGCCACATGAAAACCAAACAAATGCAAAAGGGAAGCCTAACTGTGGCACTTTCTCGGCGATTTAGGCCCAGAGGTATCAGATGACAGCTTAACTACTCGCAGTGAAGCCTAACTTGAGCGTTTGCTGGCGAATTAGGGTCAAGATACCTTTGGTCAAAGAAGATCGAAATTGGCTGTGCCACTGCTTCTTGAAGCTTTTTAAGGTCCCAAGTTTCGCGACAAAGACCGAACTTTGACCCAAAACACTGTGCTACCTGGGCCCTGATCTTCCGCGAACAGTCGCCGATGAAATCTTCCCCCACCCTTTTTGTTTTTCTTCTCCTTTTCACCCAGAGAGCACATCAGCGACTGACCCGGTGTTGATCAATGGCCGCTAAAAGAGCGGTTTAGAATAAGGGGTCCCTAAAGCTTTGGGTACCCCAAACAGTTTAGGGCGTCACAGTGCGCAAACATATAAGTCCTGCGCATCTTTAGTGCGCCACCCCAAGCTATGTGGGGGCACCCTAGTGCCACTAAATAAGCTACGCTTCGGAGTAACGACACTTACCCACCGTAGGGCTTAAAATCATGATTGACAGTTATATGAAGTGTTGTCTAAAATCACAAGGAGCGTGTTTCCGTCATCCGCAAATGTTTATACAGTTTGCGACAGAGCAAAGCAATATTACACGAGCTTCCTAACATCGAATCTAAAGCTGAGGAAGTCGCAGTTTTGAATCATGAAGATCGGCAGTTTCGTGTGCTTTTCACCGAGCGCAAAGATGGCGGCGCCCACAACAATTTTTGGGAAATGAGTTACAATACTCTAAGCGTGGATCATTTAGTGGCTCTAGGAGGGCGCGAAGCGTTGGGGCCCCTTTACTCTAGAACTGCTTAATCTCTGTAGTTGGGTCACGTGCATCGCACGCACGTGTCGCGCCGCAGCGCTATAGTTTGCTCCTTTGGGAGCCCGGAAAAAAAGCCACAGCCTGATTCGTTGTTTCAGCCATGCAGCGATGCAGTGCAATGGCGATGGAGCCGATAACGCTAATCTTTGTTTACCTTTGGAGCACGTCGCCTCAGTAGTGGCAGACGACGTGTGTTGTAGAAACGCGGTTACGCCCTGCGTTTCAAAAGTCACGTTCGGTGAAAGTAAGCTGATTTTTATGCCTATAGATGAAAGCTCCAATCGAAATCTGAGATTGAATTTGCATTTCCCGCTGGAGACATGTGAGGGAAATTTTGTTTCAGCGGCCGCGTGGTAGGTTTCAAAATCACGCACGAAGCTCGAAAATTGCATCACCTTTTTTTGGACAGCAGGATCAACTGCGACGCCAGTGAATGGCGTCTTTATGATCATGTTTTCATTTCAAACATAAACTGAACAAACATTGATGTCGTACAGTGACAGCATACAAAATGACGTGGAGTGGAAACACGCGAACAAAATGCATGGGGGTGGCTGATTTAAAAAAAAAAAAAAAAAATTCACTTTCCAAAACCACACGTTCCGTCAGAGAACACCGCATTTTGAAACATTTCCCGTGAAACTTGGAAGCCTACATCGTGGAAAAACAATTCACGCGTCTATTCTCATGCAGACCGTGCCGAGAGTCAATCACGTGTGGTGCGGTAAAACCACCACAAATGACAAAAAAAAAGAAAAAAAAAAGAACGTGCTTTTACCGGAACATAAAATTAAAGCTGCGAGAAAGTAAAAAGCAATCTTATTTTGAAGTTTTTTTTTTTTATCCTTTTATTACGAGCAGTGATAGGACTATCTCGATGTTAGTGCTCTAGTGCACAATTCATACCGCATTTTCTGGGCTATATTTCGCGGACTATACATGTTTAAACGTTCAAATGTTAGGCTGTGCGGACTATCTACACATGCGGAATATACAGGAATATTGTTCTTCAGGATCGTTCATTATGACCAGACGTGACGAATTTTCTTAATGAAAGACTATGTTATAATAATTTATGTAGAACACTAGCTTCTATGGGAGCTATAAAAGCAGACATTTGTCAAGGTGCGCGGTGTATGAGAATATTTTCCTGTCAACTAAAGCACCAGGGGGACCATGCGTTGCGTGGCGTCTACGCACCGGTTACGAAATATCTAGTCAAAATTTTTTGTTTGGCCTAAATTGACCCATGCTGACTATGTACCTGGAAATTACGGTAATACGAAAAAATCCGCAATTTACATCTGGATGCGAATCCAAGTGGTGCTTTCAGGCCCATGTCTCAAGGTGTTCGTGGTTACCCCATTCCAGTGTTTTGTCAGTTTCGTGATGCTTCTCAACCAATGCATCCTAAAGAAATACAATCGAAACGCCCTCCCTTAGCATCGCGCTATAAATATTTTAAACTTCACCTTCCGCACTTCATTTCTTCTTTTCTGGGAAATTGTTATCATGCAAGTATATACTACACGAATCAGCGTAGCAGCAACATTTTCAGGCAGTCTCCAGGATGGCCAATTATGGCTCAGACTTCGTGCCTTTTCTTGCTGGACCACGGGCAACCATAAAACCCCCAGAAAAAACAACAACTGGATGCTTATTTCATTTCAGAATACGTTGACCGATGATTTCCTTCGCAATATGCCAACGACCCGTTAAAACAGGAGGAATTAACGCGCACCGTTCAGCCTTGAGTTGGACCGCACCCGACGCTACAACCTGATGCAGCCAATTGAGCCGCGCCTAAAAAAGGGCATCGTTACGGCGATCCTTTGTTCTTGTGGTTGTCTTTTGCTATAACCGCCCAAAACAAACACGCACAATAAAAAGCGCTGGATCCCGGCGAATTTACTGTGGGTGATTGGTTTAGTTGGTGATAGCATTCTTCTTCTTCCTCTTCTTCTTCTTTTTCTTATTATTATAAACAAGGCACAAAGACGACGAGCGCCATGACGATGCACTTTTGTCACTGCTTGATTGGCTGCATCGGATTGTACAGCGTCGTCTGCGGTCCGGCTTGGGGAATAGTGCAGGCGCCCGCTCCAGAAAGTCCCTTTAGGCTAAAATTGTGGCCTTCGAGCCTGAAGTTTTGGCGTACACCCTAGACCAACTGTGTACGTATTTACGATCCTCGCCCGTTTCAGTTCTCTGGGATGGCGGCACGGGCTGCAGGCGGCCACGGGTCTGGCGTCCCTGGCCTTCCTGCTGGGCGTGTTTTACCGGTCGGCGTCGCTGTACCATCCGCAGCGCAGGGCCATAGTGCACCTCAAGAACCAGAAGCGCAAGATCAAGGAAAAACACCCAACCACCGAGAAACCGCCCTTCTTCGACTTCGCCGCCCTGCGTACCAGGACGCTGCGTGTGGTCATGACGTCCGCTGCGCTGGCCGCCGCCGGGGTCTACACTCCCTTCTTTTACCTCGTGAGTAAAAAGCCACAGTCAGACTGCTCCTAGGCACCCTACGAAGGACACGGCATTTGCTGCGCGTTTGATAACAGAATTGTGCGCGCCTCGAGCATTGTTTGAAGCCTTGTACGTATGCATGTCTGGAACATGTCCCCAGACAGTTCTTGCATGAACAATGTGACAAGACCATTATGGGGTGGAGAAGGACGCCCAAGACACCAGAGAGTTTTAGGAAACTGTTTTTCCACATCCGATACGGTACGATGGGTACTCCCGTACAAACTGTGCGTAGGGGAGTCTTTTGTGGCAGCGCATGCGCAGTTCGTGCCTGAGGGCCCATTGTACCGTATCGGATACGCAGAAATGGTTCCCTAAAACTCTCTACTGTCTGCAGACTGTCTATTGTTTAATGTATTAGCGGTGTCACCGCGGCTTAGAGCAGTTCGGAGAATTTGACAGTAGAATCTTTAGGAAGATGTCATCTGATGTTATTATCAGGCCCGTATATTTGCGGAAAGGCTGTAGTGTTTCCCCGCTCGCTGGAAACTTTTTGCGTCGTAATTGACTAAGCGAGACACGGGAGTCGGGAGCATAAATAAACATCGCCTCGTACTCGATTTTCATACGCACCAATGCTTATTCGGACTTGAGACTAGCCTGCAATCGAGAAATGGGCCCATCGGCGGCCAAAATGGCCCCTTGAGATGCAAAATGGTGGAAAGTTGGCCGAGTTGGGGGTACATGTTTAACAAAAAAGTAAAATAGCGCAAAACAAAAACGGAGGACAAGAAGACGAAGTGTAAAAGCAGAACGCTGACTCTCAGCTCATGTATTGGAAGAAAACACAAATCGACAAGCATCGCAGATCATCAAAAACATCACATCACCACCCCCCGCACGTGTCAGACCTTTGCGAGAATGCCAACTCTCTGTCATATAATGGAATAGAAGGCGAACTGATCTTTTTGCTTCAAAATATAAAAAGACTTCTAAAAATTCTTGCCATCTGTTGACTGTGTCGTCCCAAGACACTCGTTTTATCAAGATCGGGTTTGCAACCGCACCTATCACAGTGTACTGCCAATTTGCCTGCTGGCGATGATAGACACGGTAGAGCATACCCTCTTAACCTCTTATTCACATATTTGGCGGTCTGTCCGACATAAACATTTCCACAGGACAATTTAATGTTGTAAACTACGCCGACAGCACATGGCATGTACACTGCTAATCAGACTTGTCTATAAAGCGCGAGCGTGCGGCTTTCTCCGGGGAGCGCTAGACTGGTGGCACTCGCGAAAACTAAGCTAGTCACGTGGTGCAACATGGAACGGCCCGCTCGAGGGGTGTCGTCCTGCCCACTCTATCAGCTGGCGGCGAACGTGGAAGGCTGCTCGCACGCTTTTTACAAACATCATTCATTGCTCGAACAGTAAACACACTAAAGCATGAAGGCGTACCAACAATTTTGTCATAAAAAAAAAGTATATCATAAAGCACTTTACTTTTATCGCTTATCAAGCTGATAGAGTGGGCAGGACACCCCCCGAGCGGGCCGTTCCATGTTGCGCCACGTGACTAGCTTAGTTCCGTAAATGCCACCAGTCTAGCGCTCCCCGGAGAAAGCCGCTCGCTCGCGCGTTATAGACAAGTGTGATTAGCACTGTACATGTCCGCAAACAGGACAATTAACCCTACTCCTGTCGACTTTAGCGCAAAGACGCTCTAACTTCGAAGGCGTCGAAAAAACCACAGGCACTGAGACGTTGCGCTACTTTTTTGAGGTTGTGCGAGACTTTATGCACATAAGGTAAAATCGTGGGTCTCCTTTTTGCCCTTTCTCTGTCATCTATGCACAGGTCACGAAGCCCTTTTGCCAGGCCTTTCGCCACACCAGTCAGCAAGCCATCTGGGTAGCCACAGTCCTAAAGCGATAGTAGCTTGATAAACAAAACTAGTGCGTATACAGTGTGAGCATGACTTAACCAGCGCACCCAGAAGGCAGCCCACCGCAATCCCCCCGTTCATTAGTTTAGAATGGCTGGAGTCAAAAAAGAGAACACTTTTTTTTTTGCTTCTAGGGCTATACCCCAGCACAGATGTCCATCCGAAAAGCGAAGTTTGTTATCTAGAAACTGTAAATAACGATCTACTGGGTCTTCTCTCATGAATTTCAACCCACAGGAATGCGATTTAAACATCTCTAACATACTCCCAATAAATAGAAAACCTCTACTATGAACATAACCCTTTTTCGGAACAGCACCAGGTAATCATCGACGTACCTAAGCACCCCGATCACATCACCACCAAGCTCGCTTGCAACGCCTCTGTCGCAGCCTGAAAAAAAATGCCGCTTAGCGTAGGGGCAACGCTAGACCCAATACAAACTTCCTGCTTGTGCAAAAACTAGGAACCGTCGTAGACAACGTACGTTTACTTGAAAAAAAAAACACAAAAACAACAACAAAAAACAGCTTTTTTTAAAAAAAATGTCAGCGCTCACTCCAGAGGCCTTTTGAAACGAAACTGTCCCGTAATCCTCATAACCTGGAAGAAGCTGCTAAACTAACAAATTGTAGATAGAGTCATTTTTCTGGAAATGCAGTTACAAAGACGCTCGCTCTCCACCTTTATTTACGTATTGTTCATCATATATGTTCTTTGAAACACACGGTGTTTTTATTCGATTAATTTATAAAATGACTACCGGTCAAGATTAGGCGACGGCAGTGGCCTTAATGTGACTGAAGTTTCAATAAACGAATTCTATGGAAAGCTGGCCGAGTCAGTGTCTCGGTTAGACTTTGTGCTGAGGCGTTTCTGACGAGCCCCTAATCCACAAATGTAACAAATCCACTAATAAAACCATTTGGAACAACGATCTTTGAAACGACTATTTGAGAACGTTCTAGCCTAATGAGCACAGGGAATACCAAAAAATGATTACAAAATTGCGATTCTTTAGGGCCAAAGTAACGTGGATGGCGTGTTGCTTTACCTCAGATCCAAGACGACTTGAGCGTTCAGAAAGTGCGAACAAAGCCGTGAAAATCGGAAAAAAGACACGAGACGTGATGGTGTTCTTATTAATGAGTGTCCTTCCTGTAGGTTCCGCTAAGCACAGACGAAGGCGTCGAAGGGGCTTGGGTCCTGCAGGCGCTGCTGGGACTTGCCTTCGCGGCTGGCTCGGGTCTGGCGGGACTGCTGCAGCTTCAGAAGCCGTCACAGTGCCTCGTCGGCCGCCGATGCCTCTGTCAGCTGTCCCTGTTGGCCGCGGGACTCTCGCTGCTGTCGTTGCAGGCGCTGCAGGGCTTCGCGGGCTACGTGCTCTTCGCCAGTGCATATGGCATCAGCGCTGGCTCTTTGGCGTACGCGCTCAAGATGCTCGTATTTGAGCGGCTTCGGGCCAGGCACTTCAACCGCGCCTGGGGATTTGTCCAGTGGGTGCAGTGCCTTCCTGTCCTTGTAGGGGTCCCGGTTACCGGTGAGTTCTCATCTATGCACCAACTCTATTCTCTGACGTCACGGCCCTGCGAAGGCGCTGTTGTCGTCATTGCGCATGCCCAGACGCTTGAAGCCACGCCCTGCTTTTTTTAGGCTCCCGGTGCTTATAGCCGTTTTTTTTAATTGTCGCGGCAACCTTTAGTTGGCACTCTATAATAACGGGTGCTAAATCGTATCGTTCCGACTGATGAAAAAAAAAATCGAATCTTCAGGATTAACGTAATGATAAAATATATTGAACCATGATTCTTTCCTGCTTGTGAAAATGACGATTCACATGAAATATTCAGGCGGAGCGACAATAAGGCACATAATATGAGACTCTATGAGATATACCTAGGGTTGCGTGTTTTAGGTTTACACCCCGAAAATTAAACTCTGACACGGTTTTATCAAAAAAAGGGGAGCACCGATAAACCCCGAATTAAATTTTTTATTGAATGAAAAAAGAACAACAAAATACCCACGCTTATTAGGAAGAAAATGTTCATGTACATATTTATCTTGTGGTAATCCGGCACAGATTGTCTACCGAGCTTTCCGGGAGGCTGCTTCTTTCTTGCAAACCATACCTAGATTTTTTTCCCCTGTTTTCACAGGGTCGTTTTCCAAGTGTTTGGGTCACGTGCATGTGCCTGGAAGTTTGGGAAATTCCCTTCGCGCGTCCTATTTTCTTTAAAGTGTTCCGCGATACACGCCAAGTTTTTGTCAAATACCAAAAGGTGACACCGGAAAACCCCGAATCTATGGGAAAACGTAAACCCCGCAAACACGGAGCCCTAGATAGATCCAATACCGACAGTAAATGACACAGGTAAAAAGTTAAAAACCTCAAGAGAGTTGAGGACAAGTAGAGAACGCGAACAACTTGGAAAGTCGCTGTTTCAACTGATTTATCGCAGCCCCACCCAAACACTTCTGTGCATACTAACTGCATGCCCTCATACATCGATAACCACGCGACACTTTCTGCAAAATCGAACAAGAAAGACTAATTTCTTTATTTAATAAACAGATAGAAAGCGGGCTCACGCAATTGTCACCTTTCCTTTTGTTAAAGAATGCCTCTAGAATCTTCCTCTCCCTTTTATCTTTCCACCACCCGCGCAGTACACTCGTTTCATGCAGTGCAGCCTTTATAAATAAGAGACTTTGTAAGAGTAAAAGTTGCAATATTCATGATATGGTGTTTTTACTTCTTACAGGCTACATAAGCAAATGCCGAGACGACCCCAAAGCAGGCTTCTACTTCTCGGCGGCTTGCACGTTGGCCGGCGCCACGACGCTCTTCCTACTGCCCGCATCCAGGGCTGAGCCTTTCTTCTGTGGACATCCACATTGTCTCTACCACCATAACAACCATCAGCGGCCTCATCCAGCCTTCTGCGGGGACCAACAGTGCCCTCTTTTTCACCGGCACCAGGCGGACGGGCTCAAGGGCTCTTACGAAGCCGATCCAGTGGTCATGCCCAACGCAGACCTGCGAAAGAACCAGCCCTGCGTGTGCACATGCCGCAGGTCTCTTGCTCACTACCAGAGGACCATGTCCTGGGCCACGTCCGTGGACGTCCTGGACCAGCCGGCCGGAGCTGAGACCGGCGGGAGTGCCCTAGACGTAGACTATGACGATGAAATCGCTGACTTTGTCCAGCGACCAGAGCTGCTCACTTGCATTTCTGAGGAAGGGCTAGCGGACATGGTGGATCCAAGTGGCGAGGACAACGTGTGTAACTGCGCGCCGAGGGACCGAGCGGTGGTGTCTCCCAGAACAGTACAGGCGACTCGGTGCACGCACGAGCCTCTCCTCTTTAGGTCCGCCATGACGCCTATTGAGGAGGTGACCAGCACCGTGTAACGAGCTTATGGCTCGCTGGGTTCCTGGCTTCACCGAGAGTCTTTCAGTGTGAAATGTTTGTTTGAGTGTGCATGTGTGTCTGTCTGTGTGTATGTTTATGTGTGTGTGCGAATGTTAAAGTGGGAGAGAGAAAATCCTAATATAAAGCGGAGTGAAGAGGAACGTTTGAGGCCACTTCTCTCTAGCGTTTAGTGGTGTTGTAGTGTTGTGGGCCAGCAGGGTAATAAAGGTGGGGGAGTCAACAGTTTAAGTCGACGTCGAAACATTGACGTGGAACCAACGCTGTCATCTTATGCTTGTGAATGTCTTTCTTTTGTACGGGGGCATCTTTTGTCTATAGGCCTCCTGCGTTGCCCAGAGCGCGTTGCAACAAGGGACTTGTTATTACTGGTATAGGGTTGAACAAACTTGAGCATCTCAAAACGTCACACTGTAGAAACCTGTTGCGCAACGTGATCACGAGGAAAATACAAATAAACCACAAGAATTCCAACGCCATCGAAGTACAGGTCAAAGCCAAGAAGCTAAGAGCCTGAGCCAAGAGACGCCGTTTCACGCGTTTTCATGTAGAAAGCAAAACATAAAGGAAAGTAAGCGTCGGGGCGCTAGATATTCTGACGTCGCCACCCAGAGATTAAAGACGCGCACTGCTGGTGGTGGCATGTCACTGACACCTTCGATTGCCTTACGGCATTAAATCTAGCCGATCTCTGAATTCGAAAATATCTTTCCGTTTTTCAGCCCTACACAGAAAGTGGAAAAAGCGAAGGCGCCACAAGTAGTACAAGGCCTAATCATGTGAGCTTGAACTACAAAAAATGAGGGCGCCACAGTTTGTTGAAAGCTTGAGCAGAGGAGGCTATTGTTGGGGGCTAGGTCTGGGTGTCCGCGGGGTAAATCTTTTACTCAAAGACACGTTTCCAAGACGACGGTCTCTGATTACAGAGTCAATTGGACGGCCGATATTAGCGACAACGTGAGGCTGCCATTCTTTATGAATGCACGTATGATCACGTAACAACTGGGCATTACGCGGCTGAACAGATGCCACGCCGCTCTTAACCCTTCATGACCATGACTGCTGTTCATTTTTTTTTTTTAAGTTTCGCTTGCAAATTAGTTGTTTCCATTACAGTTCTGTCCAAATACGCGAATACCCGAAGAAAAGAAGCGAGAAGGTGGTACCATGTGCAGTGGCAAACACATGTTTTTTTAGTTTTTTTTATTTAGGCAGCTCCCTTCAGAATTTGCTTCTGAACCTTTCCGGTGCCGGTTTTTGGCAGAGAATCGACGAACACTACACCTCCATACAGGCGCTTGTAGATTGGAACACGATCTGAAAACAAATGGGGAGAAATATTCGTACCCAATGGCGACAATGTTAAATTTTGTCATTTCTTCGAATGTAATTCTTGTTTTCGTTATAGTAATAACAGCGTAAACGCTAGCGTGTCGCAGCATACCATCTGCAGGAGACGCTATACCCCGTGTCAGTACTCGCCCTCCCCTTTCTTCCTGGTTATAACCGCGTTATTTACTGATTTCACTCAATCCAACCGCCTTCTTTCTTGAATCTAAATATCGAGGTAAATCTGACTATTCGTGTAATCGACCAATTTCTTTCAAGCTTACTGAAGACCACTAAGACATTTACCTAAAGCTATTAATTAGGGTTCGTGAACAATCTGTGAACCTGAGCTCTGCGAATATATCGAACCATCAGTCGTAGGAAGTACGCAATACAATCCACAACAACCACCGGAATACAATCACGACGAGGGTCTCTGTTCCAGTTCCGGGTTCATAAATTTAAGCTTTTTCTATTTTTTTTTTATGAATGTGCTTTAGTGAAACGAAGCAGACAAGAATCAACGTCGGTACTGCAAACATAAGGCCACACGGGCGTGTGGCCGTATGTTTCAACACCAATTTACCGGACAGCTAAAGAGAGTAACGTACAACTATGTCTAAAGCATTACATGGGCTGGTTGGATATGCATATTACAAACCAGTAGCGCGAACGTCAAGCAAACATTTGTGTACTTGGCCTTCGCGCTATTTATTTGTAATACAACTATGTCCACGTACCCTGCCGCGCCGCGACGTGAGAAATTTTTTGCGAATGAAAGACTTATTAGCTGTCGTAATGGTTTCAACACTTAGGCCAGAAGGAGTACTCTTGATATGCTGTCAAATAACTCTGGAGTCTTTCAAGAAAGAGTCTCTGTATTCCACAAACTTAGCTCATCGCGTGAAGGCGTTATGTTTGATCATGACTGTTCGTTCCCTGACTCAAATAATAGAAACGCGGCATTTTTTTTTATATATATATATTTCGCATTTAGGTTACATTCATGAACGCCCAGCGTCTTTTCACCCTCTCAACCAATAAAACGACAATGATAGGTGCTGAGGAGGAACAGTCTACGAGAACAAGTTTTCTTTTAAGACAGTCATTTGACTGTAAGAGAGAGAGAGAAAAAAAAATAAGAGGAACAGGTGATCTCTCGTTCACGCTTTCTGCCTCCCACCGTGTATACACTATACCTGCAACGAAGTCTTGCAGATCATTTTCCGTGACTCTTATGGCCTTGTTTTGAGAAGCTGGCTTGAGCACGACGAAGGCTTTGGCGACCTCATTATACTGGTCATGAGGGACGCCAGCAACCGCTACTTCAGCGATGTCTGAGTGACTCAGCAGAAGAGCTTCGATGTCCGTTGGTAAGACCTGACGTCCCATGCACTTGAAGCAGTCCTTCATCCTTTCCACGATATAAAATTGACCGGCGTCGTCATAGTATCCGATGTCACCTACGGAAAACACCAGCAAGAACGAGTAACAATGTCTCGTGTCAAAGTGCCTTTTATCAAACGGTTCAGGGAATCACGTACCGCGTCACGATACAACAGCGTCTATACTCCGTTTCATTTTTAATCCGTCTGCTACAACCCGACGGAGGCCATCGACCAGCGTCAAAGGTGCATCGTCATCGGGATTCTTCTCTTTGTGGGTTCGCTATCAGCGGGTCAAATAATCGGGCATATCACAGTTAAACCAATCGAAGTATATCATGGTTCAAAAGGACCCCAGGAAGGTCATTGTAGGCACTTGCTAAGCACCAGGCCGAAAGCCGTTGCGAATCAGCAATCGCTTAGTGAATACGTCACTTGGTCAAAGGCCAAACAGTGAGACGCGGTGTGCCCATCGCCCAGGCCGTCATTTTGACTCGTCAACTAATAACCCCGCCCCTTCGGAAGACGTCCATCAATCGTCCTGCCTTGAGAGCTGAAAAGTTCTTTCTCCTCGTGAACTGAAAATATCACGAGGAGAAAGCTCGTCAGAGAAAAGCAGGCTGTGTACAGAGAGTGTTTAAAGCTTAAAAGACCGTTAAAAAATGCCTGTAGAATTACTGCAATACGGTTCCTGCAGGTGAGTTGTGCGGCCAAGGGAAGATAATATTAAGATAATCATCATAATAAGTCGGTTAGTTACTTGAATTTCGTTAGCTTTTTTAATTAGAGAAAATAAACGCACGGCGATTGGAAATGTGCTGAGTGTCATCAAGCACAACTGCATGCATCAGCCAAGCTTAGACAAATTTGGGGTGGGTGAAAAGAGGGGGTGGTGCACTAAGGTGTTGCACCACGCTTTCAACGACTTCAAATCCTTCACGCACTTTACGCACGAAAAAACGTGCCCGCGCGGCATTTTTTTGCCATAAGCTTTCCACACGTTTGCGTCAGTGGTCAACGTTAGCGGATCACCAAGCTTCCCACGCGCTCTAAAAGTTTAGTGAAATGTTCTGCTCTAGTGGTGGTTTTCGACGACTCCGTAACAAAGTTAAGAAACAGACAGGCGCATTTATAATATATAAAAAAGTTTATTAACAATTTCTTGATCTATTGATCGACTTATGACAATTATCTCCCCAAATAACGTCCTCCTTGCTGCTTAACTCAAATGCATTAACAAAAAAGAATGGCCTGAATAAGCTCACAAAATAAAAATATACGAAAAAAAGCTCTGACTTCTGAATAAAAAAAAAAACAAAACAAAATTTACAGACTCGTCTACCTTTTCTTTGGTATTTCTTTGCGGCTCTTGTGCAGACGCGGGTTGAATAAGAAATGCATAAATACCTTGTCCGGTTTTGTGTTCCGTTGATACTCACAAATCCTCGTTTCTTCAACTAGCAATTGTAAATCCAAAAGAAAAATACCCCAGAAATCTTTCTGAGGGCACACCTAGCAACAGCGGATATATA